TGTAGTATTTCCTTTTTTTTTTTTTTTTTTTTTTAAATTGTATAAGTATAGTATGTTCTCATTTCGATGAGCTAGACAAACAGTTACTGTCATCTTCATTATGTTATCAGAAATACAAAATGTTTTCCATCATTACTTGCATTATGGTATGACAACATACATTCATCTGAGTAAAGACTTCTCACACTCATCCGTGCTTTACAGTAAACAAACGTTAAGATTTCCTCTCATGGAAACCCTGATCAGAGGCGTATCTTGAGTGGTCCTGGCCCCTCTTTAATGGTTTCACAATCTCTTTGACTCAATCAGTAGAACAAAAAAGACCCTCAATTATGCACTGTACTATAGACCTCACACACTCTCAGTCTTTATCACTTCCACTACTGCGGTCAGGTTTCTTTCCATTGTAGTGTATGTGAGCGTGTGTATTTCCACCACTGCAGATCTTATAGTGCCATTATGAGACCTCATCTACTGTAACGTCCTACCGGTTTTCCAGGAATCAGAAACGAGCCAGGCAACAGGTGTTTACACATTTCTGCAGTTCAGAAGTTCAGCAGAGGAGAACGAGCTCAAATTGCATGAGATCTGTCAGGTAAGGACAAAGCCACAAATGGCTGGGGAGAAATGATAAGGGATATACAGTATTTTAACCCCAGCCTCTGGCTATTAGGAGGGCATGTGAGGACAAGGGCATTGAATGAAAGAGTAGGATATCTCAGAGGAAGACAGTCATAGTGATGTGAGAAAGTACAGCTGGTAGAGACACCCAGAGGAAAACTATTACTCAGAGGTTGCACATTCATTACTCAGTAGATTCATAACTCATGGAGTTCTTGGTTGTGTTTCATTTAAAGGTGAATGTTTATCTATCCCAGATTCATTTCAGAGACTATATGTTGGCTGATTTCTTTGTTTTCAACACCATATGTCTCAGGTGTTTCTTCAAAAAATCCCTAGAAGAACAAAAAGTAGCATTTTAGACATATAGTAAAGGTAAGAATAACAAGGATAGCATCAAGCCCAGTAGGTGAATGATGTTGAAAAGACATCAAATTAATATCAAAATTGATGTCAAAAAACAGGTCAAATATGCAAATCAAAACTTGACATGACGTTGATTTTATGTAAATTGAACGTCAAACATGTTTGCCTACTTATACATCAAACCAATTTCAGTGTAGAATTAACTTCCTATTTTCACCCAGTTAACACTGGAAGAAATAGCTGAGTTTAAAATGATGTTACAGCATCTTGATCAAGTTTTGACTAATATTTGATGTCAAATTTAAATCAAGGTGCCCGTTTGGAGGACATAATCTGGTCTTTGATAAATGTGATAAAAAAATAAATAATCTGAGCCGATTTCAGTAGTAGAAACATCTAAGAAGAGGAGGCATTCTCCATTTGCTCTCTGTTTAAGCCCACTGCCTTTTATGAGAAAGAATGAAGATACATATTTGTGATCATTTTTGTGGGTAATCTCACATTGGCCACGAGTGAGTGAGTGAGTGAGTGAGTGAGTGAGCGTATTCTCTCTCTCTCTGCAATGATTGAAAGACGTCTGAGAAATGTGACTCATTTGATGTATCAGGAAACCCTTCCGATGATCACAATGCATCCTAACCTAAATGATTCAGACTAATGCCACATTTCTTTTGTTCTCAATTCATTTGTTCCAGGTTTATGAAAAGTGGTCATCCAGCCCTCTATATTCTACACTATATAAGTGATTTAAATGCTTAAGCATTATCACATTAGCAGGAGTCATTTTGTACTTGCTGAATCTGATATTGTTCTTTTTTATATTTCCTTTTAGCATTTACAATATAGAAAATTAGTTATCCTGGAGTTGTCCCGACAATTTGACAAATAGCAACTAACCCCCTTTTTTGAAAAAGGGAAAATATATTGAGCAGCGATACTGAGCAGTGTGTGAAAATCCCTTGTTGATGTCAGAGGTCAGAGGAGAATGACCAGACTGGTTCGAACTGATAGAAAGGCAACAGTAACTTCTTGTTACAACCACAAAGGTACACAGAAGAGCATCTCTGAATGCACAACACGTCGAACCTTGAAGCAGATAAGCTACAGCAGCAGAAGACCAGACCAGGTGCCACTCCTGTGATACAAGAACAGGAAACTGATGATACAGTTTGCATAAGCTTAACAAAATTGGACAAAAGAAGATTGGAAAAAGGTTTCCTGGTCTAAACTAGCCCCCTTTTTCATTGTAAATCAATTGAATCATCATTGGTAAGAGGATATGGCTGATGTGTCAGCTTTAACAGTACTTAGTCATGTGTTTTATCTACTGAAGGAAGGAAAGTTTAATATTTACACAAGGTCTTTTTTTCATTAGTGTACTGAGTAAAACTTCAACGCTACTGTACCATGAGTGAAGACATCCTGTCTACTCACCACTCTGACAGGAAATGACATTCAGAGAGGGTTGGGCACTTACTGAACACTCATAAACTCAAAGATAGATCATTACTACTTGAAGACCCTGGGGCTCCTTTCGAGCAAACCAAAGTGGTTTTGATCTGTTTGCAGTGCCTTCTCCTACAATATTTTGCATTAATCTTGTTTAATTTTTATATATGCATACACTCACTGGCCACTTTATTAGGTACACCCGTTTCCACTGCTTATAAGTGCAAATATCTAATCAGCCAATAACATGACAGCAATTCAATGCATTTAGGCATGTTGACATGGTGAAGATGATCTGGGGTGTGTTTCCCAAAAGCAACTATGGTCACAAATTCCATCATTACCAATAGAGTTCAATGGAACTAACGACCATAGTTAGCCTACAGTGGCTTTGGGAAATTCACCCCTGGATGGTCAAGACTGAGCATCAGAATGGGAAAGAAAGTTGATTTACGGCCACATTTGCACTGCGGCTCTTGATGCTTAATTCTGAATTGTTGACTATATACGTTTTTTTTTTTTGGCGACCAGCTTATATCTTCTTTTAAAAGGTTCCCATAGCCGATATCAGTGTCTAGCCGATATCATCTTTCCGCGGTTGAAACAAGAAACCTTCTGATGTTCATTCATGTTTATTTCATGCTACAACTAATAAAGTGGAAGAGATGATCGGATCACATGCTGCTTGAACTGAAGCGCTACAGCGATCTATCACGACACATTAAAGGGCCACAAAACGGTATTTATTGTTTGAATTTTTGTACAAAATGACAAAATTTGGAAGCCGAGTCTTTGTTTCATAACAAAAGTAACCTGCTCTGTCTTGTCAGTCGGCGGGTTCCCTTACCAAAAAGTAGTATACTTCAAGTTTATTTTATTAAGTATACTTAAGTAAAGTTCAAGTATATTTTTAAGTATATTTTATGTAGCAAGTATACAAATATCAGTGTACTAGTAGTATACTTGTAAGTGTACTATTTCAATACTCCTTGGACTGATAGTTTACTAATTAAATACTTGTAGTAGCTTTTTTAGTACACTTTGAAGTATAGTCTAAGTAAACTACTAGTTTAGTAGTTTTATACTGCAAGCATACTCGTAAGTTTTCTTTAAGTGAACTTTACATCATACTTGGAAGTATACTACTATGTCCCTATTTAGGTATTAATTTGTAAATATTTTGTTATATAAATATATACAAAATATTACAAAACACCAAAAGAAAGAACAGGGTATCTGCTTGTAAACAAAAACATTTTATTCTAGCTCCATGCATTCTTT